ATGCCCCTAAGAATTAAAACACGGAGAATTCCTCTATTTGTATTGGAATTCAATTAATACATTAAGCTTCTACGCGCATTCCTGCTGTACATCCGCAATCAGCAGCCCAGCAGCATTCCTCTTCTCACAATTCGTTTGTCAGAAAAGTTTTACTGATACCGAGTGCACCAGTGACGAGTTTAATTACTTTCTATAGAAAATTATAATAAATTTTGAGGAACTAATTAATTTCCTTGAATTCAGTTATATCATGAATTGAATGACTGGAAAATGGGGTGGACCAAACAACTTTGATTTTGTATACCCTGATAACAGCAGTTTTTTCACACTTGACAAAAACGTATTAGGTTTATGACTAGTGGGGGACTAAAGAAATAATTTATAAATATACACTATGAATGTAATTTTCACAGCGTGCCAGCAGCAAAGTAAAAATCTCGCACGAAATTATTCATGACGATATTTATATCAAATACCATTAAACTGGATTAATTTCCAGGAATATGTTATTAAATACAATTAAACTGTAGTAATTTCCAGTTTTTCGCAGATTCTTTTTCGCAATTTGCAATAAATAAAAATGTATGATACAAATTATATTCAAGTGAGCTTTTGGAATGAATAAACAATAATATTAAAAATTATTTAATTAGATAATGTAAAAATATTTAAAAAGGCTAAAAAATAAAAAAAATATTAAAAATGGCTCAATACAATTGTAATAGAATTGATTTGAAAGATTGAAATAGATTTATAATGATAATACTGAAATTAATGACTGAAATAAATAAAAAATGATAGGCAAGAGTATTGAAATGAGTGATTTCATAAATATTTAGAAAACTTATTGGAGTGAATAGTATAAATAATAGTGTTTCAATTATGTAAGTAATACATTGAAATGAATTATTTAAATCAAACTTTCAGAATCCTGAAAAACGTCACGAAATTAATCATTTACGCAATCATTGTAACGCTTCGACAAAAATCATATGGCAGGAGTTTTCAGTCATTGGAACCTATGGTATCAACGGATCCCTTGTGAATCAAGTCACGAAAAATTCAAGAATCGGCAACAGGCCATGGGCCTATTTCTTCGGTGCCGACACTTCTATTCTATTCTATTGATAGAATTTAAAGCTATAGATTTTCACCTGGATTGTGTGGAATAACTGTAGATTTTTTTCGGAATTTTTAGTTTTTTGATGAATAGGGTTGAGAAGGCATGCATTTTTATTAAAGTAACTTATGGATTTCTCTTATGAATATTTATAAGAAAGTGAATATGTTAGATATGAATTAAGAAAAAGTGTGAAAATGACAAGTTTTAAATTTTTGTGGAGTTCGAGGAATGTACGACAGAAAGGGAATAATATTATGTTTGAAATCGAATATAGGCCCTGGTTTAAACCGTTCCATCTTGGGCAATCCATAACAACGTAATTTGATTCATCTCAAATCTTGTTCAAGCCTGCTGATGTTCACACGACAGAGACGTGATATGTTATTAAATATTATTGAACTGCGTTGATTTCCAGGGATATGTTATTATATACCATTAAACTGCATTGATTTCCAGGAATATGTTATTATATACCATTAAACTGCATTAATTTCCAGGAATATGTTATTAAATACCATTAAACTGCATTAATTTCCTGGAATATGTTATTAAATACCATTAAACTGCATTAATTTCCTGTAATATGTTATTAAATATCATTAAACTGCATTATATCCAGTTTTTCGTAGATTCTTCTTTGCAATTTGTAGTAAATAAAAAAATATGATACATATAATACTCAAGTGAGCTTTTGGAATGAATAAACAATAATATTGAAAATTAGTTAGATAAATAATGTAAAATATTAAAAAAGGCTAAAATATAAAAAATATTAAAAATGGCTCAATAAAATTAAAATAGTATTGATTTGAAAGATTGAAATAGATTTATAATGATAATACTGAAATTAATGACAGAAATAAATAAAAAATGAAAGGCAAGAGCATTGAAATGAGTGATTTCATAAATAACGTAATAATTTAGAAAAATTATTAGAGTGAATAGTATAAATAATAGTGTTTCAATGATGTAAGAACTACATTAAAGTGAATTATTCAAATCAAACGTTCAAAATCCTGAAAAACGTCACGAAATTAATTATTTACGCAATCATTGTAACGCTTCGACAAAAATCATATGGCAGGAGTTTTCAGTCATTGCAACCTAGGGTATCAACAGCTGAGAATCAGAGATCGTTTCTATTTTCAATCCTTTTTTATTATCAATTATTACAGTTTTTTGGTAAATTAACCCATGAGTGAGAAACTTTGAGCGGTCGGAACACAACTTTACTCATCTCAAAAATATCTAAAATTTTCCAAAACTATTCGAAACAAAATCGAATAATTCTGCATATATGATGAATTCTGTAATACTGATTAATTACTGAATATGGATGAATTCTGTAAACTGAATAATAATTCTGAATACTGAATAATTCTGTAAATATGATGCCCGTCCGTTTCTTGACCGTGCATCGAATCAGCTTACAATCGAACGGTCACTCGTCAAATGATAGGCTTGCAAGAGTATTGAAATATAGGTTACGCTCTGTCAATGCAGAAGTGATTTCATAAACAACGTAATAATTACGAAAATTTATCGGAGTGAATAGTATAAATAATAGTGTTTCAATTATGTAAGTAATACATTAAAGTGAATTATTTAAATCAAACTTTCAGAATCCTGAAAAAAGTACCGAAATTAATCATTTACGCAATCATTGTAACGCTTCGACAAAAATCATATGGCAGGAGTTTTCAGTCATTGGAACCTAGGGTATCATCAGCTGAGAATCAGAGATCGTTTCTATTTTCAATCCTTTTTTTATTATTAATTATTACAGTTTTTGTTAAATTAACACATGAGTGAGAAACTTTGAACGGTCGGAACACAACTTCACTCATCTCAAAAATATCTAAAATTTTCCAAAACTATTCGAAACAAAATCGAATAATTCTGCATATATGATGAATTCTGTAATACTGATTAATTACTGAATATGGATGAATTCTGTAAACTGAATAATAATTCTGAATACTGAATAATTCTGTAAATATGATGCCCGTCCGTTTCTTGACCGTGCATCGAATCAGCTTACAATCGAACGGTCACTCGTCAATGAACGATATATTTTAGAACACAGCTATACTATCTGAAACCCAACCTTAGACGCTGTGAGCTAAAAGTTACGTAATTTAACGATACCCGAAGTCATATTTGATGCGTGGCATTTGGATGCACGGCAGGTTTTCATGTAGTTCCCCTGACAAACTGTGAATCAGAGACAAGCTGTGACAAGCCTGACAAGCCTGACGTGCCTGACAAGCCTGTGAATCTCCTGACAAGCAATGACAAGCTAGGCTGATTGGTGGCAATTCCGTTGTTCGCTGCTTACAGTTCGAGCTGAAGTCAGGGTATGAAGAAGAGTTTCGATGTAACATTCAGTGGTCGACGATCTTTTACCTTTAGGCTATTCGCTCCCTTGTATGGCGGTGTAAAACCCAGGCGTTCCAGTCGCGGCTGATTGGTGCAAAAAATTGGAGGTGCGCTTGCCATAAACTTTACACAAAATTGGCACATATAACTCGAATTTATGGCCTTAAATTACAGTACTGAAACGGCGTAGCAACTATGATCCAACACAAAAAACTTCAAAGTAACTCAACGAAACTTCTGCTCAACTTGGCTTAAAAAATTACCAGTTAGACGTCGCGTCTGACTGGCAGCAAAAAAATCTCTACGTAAGTTAAAAATTGTGTCATTAGATTTTGCATAAGGTAAAGAAAGACTTGGATAAAATACATGTTTTTGCTCGAAGTCTGCGGAAAAATTGTTTTTATTTAGAGTTCCGGATATCTATTTTGACAGCTCGTTACCTAACAATTTTTTTGGAACGTGCTGATGCATGATATGATGATGTGCTGATGTACGATATGATGACACCTTAGTGTAAAATCTCATCAGCTTTGAAAATTCAAGCTGAGACCTACAAAATTAAAATAAAACTAACCGTTTTTCTCTCTTCATCTATCATTTTCCAAACCCCTGAGTCACAAATTCATCCACTCAAAGCATTAGAATATTCATAAGTTGCAAAATTTACGTCGTTATTTATATATTTTATTAGTTCAACTTCATACAGAATCCACGACGCTCCGTGAAACAAATTATTGTTTATCGTCAAAGTCCAACTAAATTATCGTTAGAAATGAATTTATTCGAAATGCAATCCAAATGGGCAGAGTTATACCTTGACCAGAAGGGGCAATGCCAATAATTTTTCTCTCAATATAATAAATTTTCTCTCATCTCAATAATTTTTCTCTCAAGTCAATCTTCGTGACCATTCAATTTCCTGAGCGTGCCACGAGGGCTTATCGGCGGATATTCACTTAATACTTAGTATCATTTCATAATCTTGTTATAATCATGCACGGGTGTCCTCATTATCACAATTCGATTGTCATATTGTAAATCTATGCTGGAATTCATGACTCCGTGGTCGAAGATTTTAACGATTCAAGTATGGCACAGAAAAATTACTATTGGTGTATCAAAATATTAACACACTTTCCCTGCCCACAGCACCAGCAGAAAACGGACGTAACTTTGACACGCCCAATTGGCAGGCCTAAATGGGTCAGGACGACACACACAAGTGCAAGAAGTGCATCACAATTTGCACAACATCTCACTCATTTTTAGCGCATTTTCTCATTTATGATAAAAACGCACTATGGTGCTCGCCATGTCCGTCTGTCCGTCCGTCTATCCGTCTGTCTGTCGGTCCGTGACTTCATGTTTTCGTCGACGAGAAAATACGCTCTCTGTCCTCACTGCAGTGAGAACTGAGTTATGTTTATAAGAGTGTGCGTACACCAAAGCATACCTATAATGTTATAGTGTGCGTGCACCAAAGCATACCTGTAATGTTTCAGGATGACGACGAAGACTGGCTCTCCACTGAACGCAAATTAAGGAGCCTCAATTACCAATTATTCTGCATGTGCGTGGTATAAACGAAGCCAAAAGAACCGGTAATTTTTGTGACTGCACGATTATCCTGAGCTATTCCTCTTAAACTTTTAGGACCGGGAGTTGCTGAATTAATATAGTGTTTTCAACACTCAACTCGTACCTGATAAATCAGTTCCTACATGACCTTCACTTCACGATTGGTTCTCCGACAAATATTTTAAAATTTACACCCTTGTTCTAGTTACGTTAATTCTGATTGTAACTACTGCCAACTTTCATGTTAACTTACGCTTTAGATCTATCATTCACTTACTTATTATAAGCAGAACACTCAATAAAAAGGTGACAAGAGCCTCAAGGGGCAACCCAGGGCAGAATGTGCTGGGGAACAGGTAGCTGCTGACGAAGGGTCGCCCTCGTGAGCCCAACAAGGCGTACTCCCTCTTGCAGAGGTAGTAGCGCTCGAAGGTGCAGTACAACCACCGTAGCCCTACCAGGTACTGCATCACGCCCGGTACAATGTGGCCTCCGAAGTGCTCTGGAAGTCCCAGTTCTGCCGTGCAATTAAAACCAGATGTTCACTAACAACTCCAAATGTCTCTTTGTGGCAAGTTGTAAGGGATAGTAACATTAAGGTAATATTGTTTTTTTGTCGAAATATTAAATTGTCATTTTAGTTTAGAATGAACCGGAGGAAAGGTGCGGAATGTTAGGGTGAAATGGTTATTGTGCTGTGGAAAGCCGGAGCGGAGGTATGTGTGAGAATAGGATCCGATGTAGATATGTAAATAATGCTGTGAACAGATTGTGTAAAAAACTGATTTCATATTTAAGGTATGTGTAGCGTGTATAGTTTACTTTATTAGTACTAGTTATTGATCCATTTCTACTTGGTTCTTTTAGGAAAGCCTCAACCTCGAGCCTAGAGATTCAACCTCAAGCCTGAAGTTTGACGTGGAGCACCTAAGTGTTAACGCATAAGTGTTCAATAGGCAATAATAACGGTTCATTAATAATTTGTTTGTGAATAAAAAAACTGCGGTGTAACAAAGTGTTTCAAAGATGTACCAGTGATTGAACCCTATACGATCATGTAGGCAATTTGGTGAGTTTGGGAGCCCCAACAAAGTGATGTGAGATATATATTCCTTCATTGCCGGATAACTTTCCCATTGAATTTGGCTCATAGCGGTTCTCGCGTGAGTGTTACTAGAAAAAAAAGATGTAGTGCACTTCATTCATATTTTGCTTTGGTCCCTACCCTTTAATTACTGTTACTCCTATAGTTACTGGATACCAGAACATGCTCATACACCCTTCATATTTACTCATTACATCTTCGGTACGAGCGTCCAAGACCGCAAGAGACGAGCTTGTCACAAAAGGCTTGAGGCATTAACACTCTTGACGCTTCACCAAGCCTTCTTACGCATACCATCATTCTTATCCCCGTAGTAAGTAAATAATCGAATGAAATTCATTTTTGTATATAATCTGATAATTCATGCATGTTTGGAACAACAAGAATTTAAAATTTTAAGCCAAAATTTTATATTAAAAATGAAAAAGTACCCTAATTATTCTTCTTTAATTAAAAGCATACTTTTTTATTCGAATTATTTATTTTTACTTTTAATCTCGTATTTTTCATATTTCCTTAAATAAAAGACTATGTCAGTCATGTATACCATGCAATATTTAATAATGCAGCTGGCACAAAGACAATTTAAAAATAAACTATAATGTTGAATACCTAATAAAAAAGTACGGCTTACTATTGAAAATATTTCTGAAATAAGAGACTACTGTATGCTAGTCATCATATTTCCCTTTATAAGAAGCTATGTAAGTCAACTATGCCATGCAATATATAATAATGCAGCTCGCACATAGACAATATAAAAAAACTATAATGTTGAATACCTACTAATACAGTACGACTTACTATTGAATAGAGGATCCGTGTGGTTATGGTGGTGCTCCATCGCCTCCATCTTGAAAGCGGTACTACGCGGTCCACAGGTGCGGCCACGATCGTTCAAAATCAGAATTTATAGCAAAGAAAACTCAAGTAAACATGAAGGGATAATAATGTTTATATAACGTGTATCTGCGAAAACAAATTATTATTTATTACGCTCAATCCACAATGAATGACTGGGTAAAAGTTCAAATTCTTTGGCCGAAGTAATGAATTCCATTTGAATTCGGATCTAGTGAATATATAAGAAGGGAATTTCTCAGAAATTTTATCGATGGTGAATATCATTCGTTCATATACAAAGAAATTATGCAATAATAAATAATACCAAATAATTTTAAACTCGATACGAACAAAAAAAAACAACGTAAATATATAGCTTGCGAATGTCTATGCAAGTTTATGCTTAATAATACTTGTAGTAATCAAAATATCTACGAAGTCTCTCATAATTTCGCTGTTGTATTGACAGAATCGCGCTGGATTGCACAGTTTACTTTACTTTACTTCCAGCCTTCTATTTACTCATGTACATACACTATATACTGATGTACTACTATAGTGATGTACTACTATACTGATGTACTACTATAGTGATGTACTACTATACTGATGACTATACTAATGTACTACTATACTGATCTACTACTATACTGATCTGTGAACGAATGAGAATCGTTCACGGTCTTTTTAGGCTTTTTTAACAATTTCAATTTTGTTTAAGCTAGGTGATATATTATACTACATGTATGTTTTTTTTTAGCGAAGCCGGTTAAGTAACTTAGACTTCCGACCCCTTCAGGGAAGATTGGTCTCAGAGAGGTGACGAGGGCGATTCCTTTTATATGAGACAGCAGTTGTGTCCTGCTAGCCGATCGGTTAAGTTGCTGCTCTGACCTTCCTAGTGGTAGCTAGTAACTGCCGATCTGGCATGAAGCTTTTGTCTTGCAGTGAGTCCTCTCCCTGACTGAGCTGATTAATTATTTGCCAGTGTCTGTGCTGCTCGTTACTGTGACCTTAACTGTAGAGTGCCCATTTTAAAGTGCTTATTTCTATTGGAATAAACGTGTGAAACTTCAGTGGTGAACTGGAAAGCTGTGTTCTCATTATCGATTCTTTAAAACTAGCTTGTTAATAAGTTCGTGGCCAGCGTTCAACCTTAGGCAGCCATCAGTTGAAGCTAAGGTAGTGAACGTCCGGTCACAGATCTACAACTAAACTGATCTACTACTATACTGATGTACTACTACGTATACAGATGTACTGATCTACTGATGCTAGGTTACTGATTTACTTCCACGTTTGTCTGTCGTATGCTATCTCCGATGCAGTGCGTCCATAGGCGAGAGAACGTCTCGTTTCTCTTCATTTTCAAGCTCTCATTTCGCAGTCGCCTATATGAGGGCGCTTGTAACTAGTATCACAACATGCGGACATTTACCAGGCTTATCTCTTCACAGTTGAAATTTTAACGCTTGACTTGAGCTCTCTCAAGATTCCTGTGGAGGTTTAATTACACTTTAGTTTTAAAAATTACTCACAGTTTTTCACAATTCTTGCTCATTTGGAGTCAGTTTTCTAGAGCACACAGATTGATTATGATATTAGTAGTTCAGATGAATGTCTATCGGAATAAATGATCCGTAGACTAATGAAAGTTCTGTTCAGTTATCACGGCCTCCACAAAACCCATAGTTTGCACTGAAATTGAATCCACTAACTACGTAGGTGATTAAATGGCATGAGTGCGAGACGTGCTATGAATGGGTCATATTGCCGTACGCTTGACTCATATTGATTTACTAGTCGGTTTTATACATATTAGATGACATGGTCAAATTGGTAATATACGAAAGATTTTTATTTGTTATTTATTCGTTATCTCCCAATACCGGTACAGTTTATTTGTTATCTCCCAATAAATATCAATAGACTGTACCGGATAAGCGCGTGCAAGTTTTCATTATACTCTTAAGTGAGGCGACATACAAAATTATGCTAATACAATTCAGCCAAGCATTGCAGAATGTTCTTAATTGAACTTTATGTGAGATAGAAATAAAAGAATATGTCTCGTGATGTTATTAATCCTCAGGTAGATAATCCAAGATCGTCATGTAGATAATAAAAGTAAAGATAATATCCCTGGTAAAAAAAAACAAATAAAAAAAACTTTTAAAAACCACGTTTTCTTAACAAACAAAAAAGAAAAACGTTTACTCTTACATAACATTTAAGTTATGTAAAATGTTATATAATGTTATGTAAGAGTAAATGTTTTTCTTTTTTGTCCGTTAAGAAAACGTGGTTTTTAAAAGTTTTTTTATTTATTTTATTTCACTATTTTTAGTTTTATAAAGAACAGAAAAACGTGGTTTTTAAAAAAAAATTTATATTTATTTATTTTCTACTTTTTAGTTAGCAATTTTAGCAATTCAAATCAATTTCCAGGGTTGGCAAGTGTGGATGTTCGAGAAAAAACTCAATTCCAAACCGTGAATTTTTAGTGTTTTTTTATATACATTTTTTTCAAAAATTTTTTTTTTCATTATTATTTCTGATGATCAAATCTTGAATTGTTAGGCAGCATAAACATGCATGCCAAATTTCAACTTACTAGGATGTTCAGAAGTGCTCTAAATTAAGGTTTGAATTTTTGATGACAGACACACACGAAACGAAGTCAAGAAAAACGTAGTAATAATAATGGATTGTTTTGGGCATTTCACCAAACGAAATAGCTCAATGATCGAGAAACCACCAATTCAAATGAAAAATTTCCTACCGCCTATATTTTAGGTCGTGTATATGGCGTCAATATAACTTTACTGTGCAATATTGGTTTCATATTGTGACGTGAAAAAATTGATTTGTGGTATTTAGGTCGCTGCCGTTCTCAAATGGCGCAAAAGGAACTAAAAAGTAGGATACATTGAGAGAACTTGACCTACGCCTAACACCCAACTTCATGTAAAAGGTCAAGATTTGCATAGCAACAAGCCTCTGCTCAAATCCTCGGGGTTTTAACTTCAACGTCTTAAGGTAGGTCAACTTTTTCTTGTCTGATTAGTTGTACGAGTGAAGGACACTTTAGAGGAGATGATATCAGATAACATGCTCTGCAATGTGTTTAAAATTTTTTTATGTAGATTAAGTAAATACATGCATCTATCACATGTCAATAAATTTCAACGATCCGCTGATCAAGGGATTAAAAAATTAATTTTTAAAAATCAAATATTCCTTATATTTTCTGAACTCTTAACTTCGAATTTGATTGAAAAGTTGACGCTGTTAGTGGACCACTGATCTAAATCACTGATAATTACATAGAAGCCCGTTATTGTAGGACTGGCTTGATTAGCCTGTGATTAAAATTTGGAAATAACTGAATTTCGTTGAAATAGAATAATAAGAAATAATTTGCAATGGACACGAAATCAAATTTAAACATCAATCACATATTTTTGCATTATACTTCTTGGTTATAAAAAATTTTCGGAATGCCAATTATAATAAAAAAATATAACTCAGTACTCACAGCAGTGAGTGACAGAGAGCGCATTGTCTCGTCGACGAAAACGTGAAGTCACGGACGGACAGACAGACGGACGGACAGACAGACGGACAGACAGACGGACGGACGGACAGACAGACGGACGGACAGACGGACATGGCGAGCACAATAGTGCATTTCTTCCATAGATGAGAAAATGCGCTAAAAATGGCCCAACAACAAACTGCTAAGGGCGCCTGTATGGTGCTCAAGATCGGGGCCTCATTGTGCAGCCGATATTGTTTTTCATCTATGTTAGCAACTAAATTATCTAAATTTATTACAATAGGTTAATTCTGGGCATAAAACGATGAGAGTAGCGCTGTGAAAGTCTCTTAAGTATTATATATTATTGTTTTTGATATTACAAGGAGAAACAACTTGCCTTATGGTTTACACTTTACAGAAACACTAGTCTGTTACTAGATATTTTTCGGGAAAGGGATGAGTTGCAATATTCGTGAAATAATTGACAGAAAATGAATTTGATTCAAACACAGTTTTGTGAAGATCTTGATGCAATCTAACAACTATATATGGGAGGCAAATGCTTTGATATGATAACTGTAGTTATCATATTATTACTTTTTTCGTGGTGCAGGAAAAAATTATTCAGTAAAAAGACTTGATTACAAGATAATTATGACATATATAGAAACACGAAGGAAATACGGAAATAAAGTGGATCGGAAAATAATCTGTAGCCTACCTTTTAAATTTGTTGAGGAACTTTATGATGCAATATGAATGATATCTGTCAGCACACAAATAAGGATTAGGAAAATAGACTTGAACGACCCATCGCATATATAAGAGCAGCTGTTTGAAATGCAGCATGATATGAACATTAGACAAATTTGCTCCTTATGAACTATAGGGATTTCAATTCGCTAACGACATTGATTTTTGTAAACACAATCAATCGCCGCGCTAACTCTGCAAACTCGTCATTGCCAATCATCAACAAATTCTGTTATGAATGCTTTAGTTCGAATAAAACCTTCACTGTTCAGTAAAAAAAGGTGAGTAAACGAAGAAATGAATGTATATAAAACGCGCCATTAAAATTAGGAAGACATTTTAATATAAAACACTAAACGGAACCGTAAGTCAGTCAGCGTCTGTTATAACAACTTTTCTCTTTCGTCTCTGTCGTATGAACGACAGCGAGCTTAAATGAGATTTGACGAAAATCTTATTAAAAGCCTCTGAATTTCAACGCTATTTGATTTTTCCGATGGTTCTTATTGGGTAAGAAACTCATTTATTATGTGTGTCCCATCCAGGTGTTGGCTGACGCCATTATTCGTCAATCCACAATAAACTTCAACCCTCAGTACCTACATGCCTTCTCATAAACCCAAACCTACTCATTTAATTCTGCAATTGATATTCAAGTGGAGCAATCGGAGAAAAAGTTATCAATTTCAGGAAACATTTAGTTCACATCAGGATACCTCAGTGTTTT